AACAAATTAAGATTCATAGGTTATAATTTGCAGAGGTTCAAAACCCATTTGAGATCTTTAAAACTGTATTCCATAATTTTATCTTTTGTCTCCATTTCTTTGTTTTTCTATATATAATTGATTTACTTATTTCAAATATGGGGCTCATTCACTACATCTTCTAGTGCCGCCCTGGGCATCTGCCTGTGCTGGTCATACTAAAACTGTCTCTGGTTAAAACTCCCAACATGCGATGTTGCACTCACTGATAACAGCGTGAATGCCATCAGTTGATGCCACCAGATTAAGTAGGTCAAACTGACTCGTGAAGCACCAGGCCCAGTGTGAGGAAAGTGGGTTTACAACACTTTAAATGACAGCTTGTAATTGATGACTGAAAGCAGCAAACAGTCAACTTTGACATTATGCTGACTGTGAAAAAAAAAGAAACCTCAGCAAAACACTTTCGACTACTTTTGTCTTGTACCAAAACACAGCATAAGATAGATAAGTGAATGGTTCAAAATGTTCCTCTGTGCAGTCAACATATTTACGTTTAATTGAAGAAAGAAAAAAAAAAAACAATTCTCAAATGTTTTCACTTAAATTACTTGTGTTAAATTACCAATCCTGGTTTTAATTTGTTGACTTTCACAGTAGTTTAGATCTGAAATGTCTACCTGTCTTTATAATCTGACTTAAATAAAGTTCTGATGAAGACATTTTGACCGTGAAGCAGCGAGTTCTTTCAACAGAACCAATGGCTGATGTAAATCCGTAGAGTTGGGGAGCTGGCTAAACTCTGTGACCCCAACACAGGCAATTGTACCATGCATGAAAGGGACCTCTTCTCCCTTAGCGAGAACCCATCTCACCAACAGAGTCGCTTGCAGAAGTTAAAAAAAAAGGAAGCCACTATTATCTTAGAGGTTAACCAAATTTATCAGCCTACCATCTTTTTAAGTGTGGGCAATGAGTCTTGACAGGACAACTTTCACGTTTTTTTTTTTTTTTTGTTGCTTTAAAGACTATCCTTTGATAGCACAATGCTGCTGTATTAACACAATGACGTGCAGTACAAAAACAGCTTCTTTTGTGTTATAGTCCTTTATATTTATTTACCTAAACACCAGATGTTATTGTTGGAGAAAAAAAAGCACATACAATCCCTTTCTTTGGAGAAAAGCATTCAAATATGTTGGCGTTTTGCTAGTTTCAAAGCAGCATTGGGTTTCAGAACTGCTGAGAAAAGAAAATAAGGGCATAGTTTAAGAGGTGAGAAGACTTGCAGAAGTCCATAACTTCAGTGCAAAAGTAAAAAAAAAACAAAAAAAAAAAAACATAATGTGCCATACTGCCTAAGAAATATAAAAACTTGACATTAATTGTAAAAATGTGTTCTATATAATTATTTTTTTTGTACAAAGCTGATCTTACTTCCAAACATTTGCCCCATTATGTGTGTGTATACAGAATTCAAATACTTTGCTGATTAATTTATATATTCCAGATATATGACTTTAACAACTTTTTAAAGCAAGATTGACCAAAAACCACATGAAATTCATTTGAACATTTTGCATATAAAACAGAATTTCTTGCTAGCAGGTCAATCAGCGCAATAGGCCTTTAGAATAATGGTCACCATAGCAACAGTAGTTCTGTAGTTCTGTTACAAATTAATCTGACTTAAACTGATTACACAATCTCTGCATTTTGGGAAGAAACCAGAGTTTGAACAGCTCAAATACAGGCTGCAGTACACCGATACTGCCATATGATCGATTGCATTTACAAAAAAAAAAAAAAAAGCTTACATAAACGAGTACTTTGTAAAGCAAACAAAAATGTTACAGCTAGCTGACTGCTTTACCTACCTGGTTAAATATTCTATCTCTGCAGGAATACTTTTCAGCCTGTTTCCGCCGATAGAAAGCGACTGCAGGCGCAACAGTTTGGTACACTGGAGCGGGATCTCCTGGAAGCGGTTCCCACTAAAGTTCAACACTTCCAGCTGCAGAGAGCCGAACTCCTTGGGCAGAGAGAACTCGTCCAGGCGGTTGTTCTTGGCTAAGAGGGTTTTTAGCTTGGTGAGTCTGGTGATGCCCTCACAGATGGCCGTCAGCCCGTTGTTGCTAATGTCCAAAAACTCCAGGTTGTAGAATAGGCTGACCGACGAAGGCAGCCAGGATAGTCGGTTGTAGTTTAGGAAGAGCTGCCTGGTGTCCCTCTGTCTATCCTCGCTGACATTGTTAACGTTGAAAGTATTTAAACTAAGACGTGAAAAGTCAAGCACACAGTCTCTGGTTGCTACCGCTGCTGCTGCTGCTGCTGCTCCTTCTTGACTCTCCATTTTGGTTATTTTTCTTATTTTCCTAAACTCTTCCCTCAAAATTGGAGTTAGCTCCTAAAGTTTTGTACTTTAAAAAACGAAATAGGCATTCCTGACTAAACATGGGCTACTCTTAACACAACTAGCTTCTGTAGCCAACATTTAACTACTTTCAATGCAACCCTGCTACAATACTGCCTTTCATTCACTGAGGTTTTACTTCCACGTTTTACGATTGGTTGATTACTGACATAAACCCCACCCACTGAAACGCTGGTTGGTTACTGTTCTTGGCTGTCACATTGTAAAAGTAATGGAGTAGTTTTATAAGTTTTCCAGATTTACTGCTCAGTTTTGATAAATCACAGCTACGCAAAATCACGCCAGGGTGTGTTACAACGGTGAAGAGGTTTTTAGGTGTTGTAACAGTGGAACAATGCTGGTAGATGATCCATCATGCCTGGGGGGGCAAACCCTACAGTCATTATGCAACTCCTTTCTTCTGTTGCATTATGCAATGCTCTGCAGATGTGACATGCAGACGAGAAACAAGTATAAGATAATTTAGTCCAAATTAAGTCTTAATATTGTCGCAAAAAAGAAGAAAAGAAAGTTTATTAGCACCATATATATATATATATATATATATATATATATATATATATATATATATATATATATATATATGCATACACATAAAAGGTAATACAAATAGTAATAAAAGGGGAGGGTAATTTGTCAAGAACAAATTGGTCTATTTTGCTTTGTTTTCCCCTATGCATGATGCTGCCATCACAATTTTTCACAGTGTGTATGTATGTACACAGGTTGCTGATATTGCATTAATATAGTGATGCTAAGTTTTAGAAATAGAGCACATCATTTCCAGCCTGAATTAATATGGAAGAATAATCAACATCACTCATTTAATTAAGAAATTCAGGTAGAAGACCTTTCACTTTTTACAGATTATGTAAAAAGTCAATGCATATTATATAAGACTATTGGTCAAGTTTCTTAACTGCTACTCTGGACTGAGCAAAAAGAGGAAGTTATGGAGCAATAGACTGATGACCACTGGTTTAGGTGATTATCATGTTTTGGTGTATTTACTTACTCTATTTCCAGATAATGCCTTAACAGTGCTTTATGTGACAAAATAGACTTCTGAAGGCAGTTGGTTGTGATCGCAAGGTGTCATTTTTGGGGTTGAATAGAAATATATGCCTCAGATTTTGTATTGTGCACCAAGTTATATATGTTTGTACCAAAGAATCCGATAAAAGAGTGAAATGTGTGGTCCTAACATGAAAAAGTTTAAAGGGAATGAATACTTGTGTAAGGCACACACTAAGCTATTCATTTAATTCAAGCAATATTTATTCATTTATTTTCTTTTTTCTTCTGGCAAAGCTCAAAACAAACAGAGAAAGTAGTGTTGTGGTGTAAGGGCTTTATTGGCATACATTCCTTACAGTCTGCACTTTTTGTGGAATAGAAAGATGTAGCTCACACCTAATAATGCAACATTCACACAATCGTCTATCAGACAGAGTTACAAAGCAGTGGTTTACTGCTAAACTCAAGCAGCGCCCACTCTCATTCTTTTTAGAGGCTGATACTGTTTGCAGGTCTAAGGCACTCATGTGTATTGGTCGACACCTCGATTTAGATACAAATGAACACATAAAATAAAACCAACTACTCCAAGGTCACAACACACACTCACGCACTCACACAGTTTATTTGCACCCAGATAACTAGTACGTCTATGCTACTTCAGCTGAGGCTAGTCCTTCTGTTAGTGATTTTGAAAGCACAGGTATAGTGTTGTTGCTGGGTCCAGAGTAACGTTTTACCTGGATAACTTTGTACATCATTCATCAAAACACTTCTTCACGGCTTTGGTTTCAGTTCTCACCATGTAACACTCAGATCAGGTCTCCTTGAGGTGCAGCTCGTCGCAAAATAATAATAAAAAAAAAAAAGACAGACAGTCAGGGAAATGTTCAAGCAACAAAATAATAATAATAATAAAAAATAATAAAAAAAATCACATGGTAATACAGGGTGGGTTTCAACACAAGCCAATAACACATTGCACACAGAAACAAACTTTTTTTTTTTTTTTTTTTGCTGAAAAACTATAATGAAAGCATAAAGTTACACATACAGTACTTCTGCTTTTTAGTAAACTAAGGGAAGATCGGAGGAAAGAAAGAAGTGCAATGGTTGTAGCGGTGGCCACTGTCTACGGCAACAAAGTCGCAAGTAGCCTTTACCTTCTTAAAAACCCTTAAACCAGGTGCCCTCATTTCAACAAGTTTAAGTTCCTACCTTTACCACCTTCAATAGCACACACATATAAATCCCTAAAACAGCTGCTACTTCTTTCTTTTGTAGTAAATGTAAAAAATATATAAAGATAGTAGGAAAAAAAAAAAAAAAAAGGCCCTGGGACTAGCGTAGGGGCGCAGTAATACATTTGAACGTAACAGCATTGAGCAAAAGGCGATCTGTTTCCATTCAGAATGCCCTTGAAACAAACAGACACAGCATACACTTAAACACCGCAAAAATGTAGAATAATTAACATATCGGGGAAACATAAAAAAAGTCAGTTAGATAAAACTTGTTCGCGAGGGAAGTCAAGTATTAAAGAAGGGCGATGGCACGCATCCTCTTCTTTTTTTTTTTAAGTGTCCTCACTCAGACCTCTTTTGTGCTGGCCTTCATCTTCTCAACCGTTTCCTGCGTTTAAAGACAAAAATAACAAGAGAGACAAAAACAAAAATTGAGGTGGGTAGATCTGTGAAGACAGATTCAATTTATTCTCTCATAATGCAGTTTTTATCCATTCATCACGGGCAGGGATGCCATAATAAATCGGGGCTACATTTTTAGGTAGAACAATGGGCTCATTAGGACACTTAATTGTGTCCCATTTGAAACCGTTTACAGTCCCTTTTGATTGAAAGGGGTTCTGTAGGTTTTTGGAGCAACTAATCTGGTCAATCACACAACTCTAGTTTGGAGAAGACATGAGCTATTTGCAATATCAAACTTTCTTTGACATCTACATAAACAAAAGGTAACGTGTGCTATTTAGTAAATTTAGTCCAACTGTTAAAACTTGAAACCATAAAACAGAACAATTTTTCATTGGCATCAGTAAAAAAAAAAAAAGAAGGTCACACAAAGACAAAACCTGCCTCTGTCAGGGCTCTACGGCATTTACCACTGCTCTACAACTTTTTTGGAAACACGATTATGTTTGAAAGGTGAGTCCCCCTGTCAGAAATGATTCCCTCAGAGTGACATCTGTTTGCTGTGGCCTTGCAAATCGTTCCTCTGTAGGGTACAGAGCACACGACCCAGCTGACTCAGCAAATGCCTCCAGTCAGATCGCCGGAGGCACCTTTTGAGAATCAGAAGATGATTTACACATGCAAGCAAGCACACACACCACCAACCCAGCTGAATAACATTAACATGGAATTAGTTAAGTGTAGTTTAGCATAGATTGTTACGCAAAACATCAGAAGGCCACAGGAGAAAAAGAAAGGCTAAGGATGATTTTTATCTGCTGTCTGTTATCTGTTTCATATATATGACCCAGTTTTATTGCTCTAATTGAGGTAGCATCGCTTTTTTCCCCCCCAAGTGTTTGATTTATCTTGATATGCCTGTGGTGATAAAGCTACTGATAGTGAGATTCACCGCCTCACCAGTGTGTCAGGGTCACTTTAAGTCCTTCATCTATTTTGTGCCAGCAGAGGGTTTGGATTCCAATGTTCTTTGTCCAGACACACACCAAGTTCAGAGTTCACAGACGGCATATTTGCACACTTTTAGTCTGGTTCTGTGAACAGCTCGTTTTTGAAGGACAGTTAAAACAACATTGTTTTAAAAATAAAATTAAAAAAAATCCAAGTAATGGAGATCATTTTGTTCCAGAAACGACTTGTAATTTTGATAAACATTGTCGCTCATCTGACTCATATACGTTATCAGTCAAAGAGCGATTTCCACATTGGAGATACAAACCTGGTGTTTGTTGAGCTCAGCCACGCGGAGGTTCCACTCCTCCTCTGTCATTTCTGCTTCAGCATCTGCTGACTCACCCACTGCCGCCTGTTTGTCTGGACAGATAAAACAGAAAAGGTCAAGAGGCATGTGTTAGGTAAAGCGGATACCTTGAATCGCTCCAACGATTCTTAGCAGCAAATCAGATCGTTACCGCCGCAGGTCATCGCGGTGCAGACCCAGTTGCCGCACGCGCAGACGCAGCGGTTGCATTCAACCTGGGTCTCTGCCCCGTCCTCGTATGTCTCGTCCTCCAGGGCGCATTCTGCAAAAAAAAAAAAAATGCACGGAGCGATGAGCCACGAGTACAGATTGTGAACGGCTGCAGAAGGATAGCAAAAAAAAAAAAAAGGCATTACAGATATCAGCTTCGACAAACACGGCTTGTCAGCATTTTAGGATGCCGTGTCATCTCGCAACCTTGCTGCAGAATCAAATTTTAGCTTAGTCATGAGTGGTCAGCAGATTTGGTGGCTAAATATGCAGGCCATAAAGTTTAATGACATGATTATCACAGGATATAAAGCAAAAGCGGATCCAAAAACCTACAGAACTCCTTTTATCAGTGTGAGCGTGAGCAGAAGCCGGAGTTTTAAAATGCTTGTCAGCGAGCCAAAATAAGTTTGCGTGCGTTTGCCCTTGAATCTGAAGTAGCCACAGGGATCAGTGCTCCCTCCATGCTGACTGAGTAATGCCTCCGCTTCCTGTGAACTTTATCCCACATACATCCGCACCAGATGACTGACCGAGCAGACGGCATTCCAGATTCTTGAGGAAAGGAAAACACGCACTGGAGGGCTCATTTTCAGTTATTTTTGGAATCTTCGGGGATTCAGTGTTTTTTGTTGTTGTTGTTTTTTTTAAAAGAATCTCTTTTAGCTCACTCTTCTCTGGTGGGTTGAAACCAGGCTTCAGACAGTTGAGGAACTCATCAAAGTTCAGCTTCCAGTCAGCGTTCTCATCAGAGAGCTCAATGAGGGCGTCGATGCAAAGGCTCCTGTATGAGAAACAAACAAGCATGCAAATATTAACATAATATTAGCTCTCACAGACGCATAACAACAGAGCCCTGGAAAAATAAGAAATGTGAAAATGTAATTATAGTATTTAGCAAAAGTGTTATTATATTACCGCCACAAATGTTTATGTTTTATTGGGATGTATGTGATGGATCAGCAACAAGTACAGAGTTGTGAAATGATAGAAACTTGTATATGATTTTATTTTTTTAAACAATTAAGAAATCTGATAGGTTTAGTGGGTGTTAATATTCAGACTCCTTTACTCTGAAAAGCCCAGATAAAATACAGTGAAACAAACGACCAGAAGAAATCACGTTGTTAATAAACCAGCAATCCGTGCATAATTTACTCTTAAAACACTCGTCTGCTTCTTTAACTGAATCAACACTTTGTATAAACACATTTTGTTGTAATTACATACAGATCATTTGAGGTTTGTTTCTAAATCGATTTTCCAAAAAAAGAAAAAAAAAAAATCAGGCACAATGACTGAAGAGTTTCTATAAGCATATTTTTAAGCTGTGCTGCAGATTCTCAGCTAATCCTGCATTTAGGTCTGGACTTTGACTGGACCATTCCGACATGAATGTTCTCTAAATCATTCTTTGTGGGTTTGCCTTCATGTTTAGAGTTTTACTCCTGCTGGAAGGTTAGTCTTGTTTGCTTTATTTATCTTCCCTTTGTTTCTCACTAACACAGTTGCTCCAGCAGTTTCCAGTTCATGACTTAAAGAAGCTTTCTGCAGCCGTGCTTCTCAGCCTTGCACTGTCTGTGTTTTGCAGCCAATGTTATTTGTTATGCAACCTAATCAATCAAACCCAGAGAAGTTTGTAGTAATACGACAAAATGTGAAACAGCTTAAGAGGAGTACATCATGCTGCAAGGCACTTTAGATGAGAAGGCTTTTATTGTGCAGCGTACAGATGCTGACGCCTCAGTAAGTGACTACATGTGGCCTTCTGTGCTGTTCGCTCCGTTCTGACAGGTTTCATCAATCTTTCTCAAACTAGCACCACGGCAAACACAATCTAGCTCAGAGTACCACTACGAGAGCGAACATTTGGCAACACCTGGAAAAAAGAAGTGTTGTTTCTGCCAACCCGACCTCACCGTACAGACTTATGTAAGCGTGCGAATCAACAAACGCCCACTGACCTGAGCAGCTTGTTGCTCTCCTGGTCTGCGTAGGACTGCAGCTCTCCAACCGACTCGTTGTGCTGGATGAATTTGAGCAGCTCGGAGGAGTCAAGCTGAGAATCGCCATTGTCGTACGACTGCAGAAACACGGATGAATGTAATGAATGTAACAGATGAAAGGGACAATCAAGAGCTACATGTGGCCCGGAGCAACCTGGGATGAGCCGCTTTGTGTCCATTTCTGAACATTTTCAGGCACTCGTGCTGTCATTCTGATTTGAAGTGAGCATGTAGCCCCTGAAAGCAGGTGCCTTATGTAAAAGCATGCCTCTTTTCATTTTCTGAAAGATGAGTGGGTTGAGGCTTTTTCTGATTAATACCGATTACTTGAATAAAACGTGATCTTTGCACCAAGACATTGTCAGCCAACAGAGAAGGTTTTGCTTTCCTGTTTCTGCAGGGCAACATAACCAGAACATAAACATCTAAAATCTGGTATTTTCATACGCTGTCGTTTCTTACTGTCCCAAATGAAATACGACTAACCTTTTCCTGTTTAGGTTAGTGAGTGTTACTAAAACCATTTCTATTAATTAAATTTCGAAAGTAAGTAGTTTACGTAAACAAAGATTACTATGCCTTTAAACAATTCGGAAAAGCCCAGATGATGATCATGGCTTTGGAAGCCTCTGATAGATTAGCATAAGTTCCATCAAAGGTTCTGTGAGGCAGAGATGAAATTATTTTGTTAAGAAACATCAGCATCAATACTCGGATAAAAGGAAAAGGCACAGTGAAACAAGTCACGCATTGACATGGGCTGAAAAGCTCCTCAGTAATAAATAAGGCTTTACTCCAAAAGCAACGTACAAAGTCAGATTACATTTTGCAAATGCACTCAGGGTCAAGTTTTTCAGTTCGGGAGACTGTCTGGTGCAGATGAAGGAAAAAGTGGGAAGTTTGCTAGCCTTTGAATCCCAAACAAACAGTGAAGCACAGAGATGGAAGAATCTTGTTTTAGGAGTGTTTGCTGCAGGAGGGACTGGTGCACTTCACAAAATAGGTAACATCATGAGGAAACTACAGTGACAGAAGGATATCAAAGGCATCTACCCAAGTCAAACAATTTAAATTCAATTGTACCAAATACAAGGAAGATGTATGGAAAATGATGAATTGAAGTCACTTAAAGTCTTTCAATCATTTTTCTGCTTTTTAGCAAATAGAATTAATGTCTGTAAACCAAACGACAGATAAAACAAACAAAAAAGTGTAATTTTTGAAAGTTTAATGTCAGATCACAATAGATGTGTATCTAATTAGACTATTGATGTAAATATCAGGTTTTAATTCAATTCAAAATTTTACAAAAATGGCACTGGAACTCATTTTTCACTAGTCAGCCACCGTTAACACAATTAAAGCAACCAAATTTTAAAAAGATTTACCCAATCCAGATAAGAGAGTAAATCCTTTTTGTTTTTTTAACAAACTGTTCCAGGTGCCATCTGCTATTAAGCTTTAATGTAATTTAAGTCAGTCAATTAAGAGGCGGGAGGAGTAGGGGGGGTGAGACCTCCTCTGCCGAACAGACGTCCTCATTACACTGAATTATAACCAGTGCTCACGTTTGAAAGGTCTGTAGCAAAAATAATTATATCCAGTCTGAGACGGCAATCGCAATCCGGGAGGTTGGAGAAAGGCAAACATTACGGCTGGGTATGAGAGACGCTTGAACAAACAGAGCAAGACCAGTGATGTGCACAAAAAAAGCCCACCTTGAAGTATTTGAGGAGGATTTCAGAGAAGTTGGATCCCTTGGCAAACCAGCCGTCAGGGACGACTTCGGTCTGCAGCCACTGGATGACGCGACCCCTCAGCTCATTGCGGTCAGCAGCGTAGCACACCACTGCAGCAGAGGAAGCATTTCCAAAGGTCAAAAGGTTTAATAATCCGTGTGAATAATAAATGCTATCTTGAAAGCATTTTCCCAGTTGACTTCTGTCCCACTCCATTAAACTTTAAAGGAATTGCATTTTACATACGAGGTCAAACTAAAATAAAGACCTTCTGTGAAATACTGTGTGTAGAAATATAAATCACATGGCTACAAAGAAATATTCCTGATTTTTGAAGAAAATCTTTTGAAGTAAAAAGCCTTCAAATTAATACATTTTATATTACACTACAGTAGCATAATCACACACAATTGTTTTGAGGATGAATATGCTCTTATTTTATGTTAAGTATTTTTATTTTATATTCATTATTTTATAGAAATCAGTTTTTACTTGGACAATAAAAGGGTTTTTTTCTTCCTTTTTTTAATCAAAAAAGGCAAATTTTGTTCATTATGATTGTATTGTAAAAGCAATAAGAACGGTAAAACAAGGGGGTAAATATTTTTTATGGGCATTGCATAGTGTTTTTTTTATTTTTTTATTTTTTTTTTTTTAATGTTTTTACCAGGGAAGCCAATAAGTATGCAGGGTTCTGGTTGCACACAAACCCCAACTCACCTGGGCTGGCAGCTGCTTGGTCTGTTTCCTTTTCTAGAGATTGGAAAACAAAAAACAGAAATAAACCACAAAACGTAAAGCAACATTGATGGAGATGAACTTTGTTGCAGCTGAACAATGAACAATGAACCATTTTAAGGTTAATTGGCCTCCTGAGTGACATAATGATCTTGGGAACCTACTTTGAATCGTCTGGCTCCGGTCAAGGTTCAGGTCGGCAGTAAAACAATGACGCAGTCGTGTGAGAAGCGAAAAGTTCACTCAAGATAAGATGCTGCTGTTTAATGTATTAATAGTAGAGTTAAGGCGTGATCCAGTGCAGCACTGTGTGGTAGCGGTTTATGTTTCACCACGAACTCATTCACCCCACATTATCAGGGCGAAGGATACCAGCCAGTTCAGAGGTCACACATGCTGCTCACCTCATTAACCATGTGCAACAATTATCTGCACCTGCACCATATTCAAAGTCTGCTGAAGAGTCTCTTGCCACCCTGACTATTATCTAACAAATATGTGTAGCATCATATATTAGGTACACAGTTGTACTTGTAAAAAAGTGACAGCTGCTGTCACACTGACTTATTTGGAGAAAGCATTGACATTAAAGAGTGTTTCTTTTCTCATTACACAGAAATATGTGTCAGCTTTAATTATTTTTAGATATATTTTTTAAACTTTAACACAGAAATTAGGTGAGCTTAGGAAAACATTTGAACTACAAATGAAACAATTAAAATATCGGAAAATGATTAGAGACCAGAAGGTCAAATCCTGAAACTCTATTTTAAAAGTCTGATAAATATTAGAGGCAGACACTCATGAATACTGATTCCTTTCAACAGAAACAACTCAGAATGTGTTATTCATAGCTGCAGGGATCCACTTGTAGAGATTTAATGAGAAAACAACTAATCTGCTTTGCGCTGTTCTTTACCCCGACAATGTCCATCATGAGCCACTTGGATCTTCAGGCCGCTCAGACAAGCATCTCTGTGGAGCTCGCAGTGATTCCTGTAGGTCTTACCATTGCTGCCACACACTGACCTCTTATGGGGCTTGCAGCTCTGCAAAGTGAGAAATGAAGATATAAATAAAAACTAAGCAAAATTAAAAAAAAGATGAAGTTTGTATTTCGACTGTGCTTGCACATGGACGATTGACTCGAGCCGAGAGGCGGCGTTTACCTCAATGCAGAGGCAGCTGGGTTCCCCCTTTTCGTTGACTGCGCACTCTCTGCCGGCCCCGCAGAACACATTGGCACAGACTTTGCCCTTGCTCTGCAGCTCCTGCATGAGAAACACCGGAGCGGACACTTGAGAAATGCGTTCTGCATTCGCGCACTGGGTGGTGCTGTTGAGTTTGTAGGAAGACGCGACCGTGCCGAGGGCATGCAAACAAGATTAACGAGCACATTTTGCATTTGGGGAATAAAACACAGTGTCTTGTTTGGAGTGAGAGAGTGCATTCACTTTGCTTTACAGGCTCTCTGAGATTAAACAACCTTTAAGAAGTCCATTATAGAGCAATCCTACACATAGGATGCCTCGCTAAAGTAGTACAGTATACAGTATTTTAAAAATCCTTTCATTGTACAGATGTTCTCTACTTTGTGATGGTCTGTTGCATTAAATTCCTGATAAAATGCAGTGAAGTTTGTGCTTGTAAGAAGACAAAATGTACAAAGTTCTAGGGGTGAGATTATCTCTGCCAGGCACTGTAAAACCGTTCTGTTTTCGTGAAAATAATACTAAAACACAAAAGGATTAGAACAACAGAGATCACTTGGATGAAACGCATTCACTCGTGTGCCCTGGGGTTTTCACTTGCATGAAGTTGCTCTCATTTTCTCATGTTTATTCCTTTCATTTGTTGTTTAAAGTCTTTGTTTCTGAACATTGCCAGCAGGCTAAAGAAATGAGGTCACCTCTGCTGCAGACCAGCCAATCACAAGACGCCATGCGGAGCCTCCAGAACTGTTTGTTGACCCCCGCTACCTCCTTCTCAGTGCGTCTTTGTATGTTTGTGGGCGTATTTAAGTTTACTTGTTTGTGTGTGTCTGCGTGTGTGAGTGTGTGTTTATGCAGGGTGTTTCCACATCTGGAGTCTGAGCTGTGTTTTCCTTCTCCCATACCCTGTGAAATCCTTTCTGCTCTGTTTGTCTCCAGACTCCACTCCCATTCCCCCCCCCCCGTTTCCCCACTTCTCCTCCCTAAGCGGCTGTTTCCTGAACGAACGAAGCAGAAAACTTGATGCTCCGACGACACGTGAGCTGGATCCCAAGTTTCCATGACTGAGAGTTTATGACAGCCTAGTTTGGTATGTAGGACTGAAAAAAAAAGAGTAGATTGTTGTCTCAGAGCAAAACGCAAAACGCTCTAACGACAAATGTAGACTGATGGATTCAGAGGCTGGAGAGGGTTTGACACGCAAGCATCACCCTGTACCTTAAAAATGGTGAGAGGATTTGGCCATTTCCTTGTGTAGTTCGCACACACAAACTTGCACTCATAAGATGAGGTCATGGAAAATCTTCAAAGTGATTTGCGAGGCCCTAAGCATATTGAACTATTGAGTTTGTTCGACACAGATGGGCCGGAGGCCTGTTGAAACCTGTGGAAACACTCACAGGTCATGAATAATGGAGGAGCTCCTCGGATGAAGCTGCTACAAACGTAGATGTGTGTCTGTCGGCCCGTTCCTCTCTGAGCAGCAGATCCCTGACATTTAGCTAATGAACATGGAGGCTTTTGATTATTCAAGTGGGTTGTTGCCATAGTGAGAACATGTGAGGGCTCTTGCTGTCGATGTGACGGCAAAGTGTGGTCACAGCAAAAACGTTGGAGTTTATGGCTGACACAAGTCTCTAGACGACAAAGAACAAAAACGACTGCAATCCCACCTTTTCTAGACAAGGAAAGGTGGTCACAAATCTTGCCTGTTTAGATTTCACTGTGCATACAAGAACAAGGACATGGAGTTCTTTATGTCCACTACTGGATTCATGACAGTCTTAGTTTTGAGGGTGTATTTGAATGGTGATATTAAACCCTGTGAACACTGACATACTCCTAAACATCTGTCGTACAGTAAACATGGTGTTTATCAAGAAGGCCCTCATGTCATGGGTTTAAATCCTGACTGGCCTTTCTGCAGTTTGCATGTTCTCCCTGTGCCTGCATGGGTTTCCTCAGTGGTACTCCAACTTCGTCCCACAGTTCAAAAATCATGTTAGGTCAACTGTGTGAATGCCTGTTAGTCTTGTGTTTGTTCCTCCCTGTGACGCCCTACTGACCTAGGGAGTACTTTGGGAGACACTGATCCAGGAATAAAAACATTATTTATGTGTAAATATGATTTTTTTTATAAGCGAGTTTAGTGATTGTAATATAGGCATTAAAAAATAAAGCTGTACACACAAAAGCTATAGTCACAAAAAATACTTTTAATAAAATTATCTAGCTTCAATTACTATTGCATGCTATGTGCTGAATTTGTTAGTTTTCTTATTTTCTTAAATCAAGATAAAAATACAAAAGGTTGTTTTATTCTGATTATACCTCAAGAAACCAAAGCATGAACCTTGAACAAGTTCATCTTTTAGTTTTAGATTAGAAAAACTTATTTTAGACCCGGAATAATTCCTAAGACGTTAGGATTTTTTTTTTTTAGATCATATATTTATTTCAACAAAAAAAACACGACTATATTGCAGGCACATCGTTCCTTATAGCTCACTGTATTACTGCCACATATCAAGCTCGTTTTATAGCAATCACACTTCACTGCTAATAGTTTAATTTTACCAATGCCTCAGAATTTCCTGAGCAAATGAAACTCCAAGTTTGTCTTGGTAGCTGTGTAATAATAGAATTATCTCAAGATATTAATAAAGCTGAAAAACAACTAGTTAGAATTTATTTTAACCCTGAAATTATGACTGTGATCCTGGCAGATGGATTAAATAAAAAAACAACAACAAAAAACATCCATTAACAGCCTTCTTCTGCTATAGATCATCCCCGAGTGGCAGCAATACTGCATGATGAAACTGGTTGCAACACAATGACGGCTGATTTTTGCACCAGAATCACAAGTGCTATTTAAAAAGACGCTTTCCTCTTAAAATAACAACACGTGGTGTGGAGAATCATCACGTCCAAATGTATGACACGATGCACAGTCGTGCTTCGGTTTATATCAGGCATGTCCAATTTTCAAACTATGCTATACTTTAAAATAAAAACAACAACAAAATGTAAAGCAAATAAGTGGTTGTTCAAAGATTTTAGCACACTTTGGACGAACTTTGAGCAAATTACAGTCGGCAAAGCTACGAGCTGCATGAATGTTGGTACCAACTAAACTCCCAGCTAATAGCAGTTTGCTGTACTAGTGTTATTTTTTAAGGAGCAGAAAGACAAACAGGTGAACATAAGCTCTTGAAAACAAGTAAAATGTATGGGTGTTTATATTTTTCATCAAGGCTATGTTTCACACTAACAATAACAAATGATGCAGGTACATTTATTCTAACTGTATAAATTAGCATAGATTTTAGCACAAGTAGGGACATTTGGTGCTTTTCTGTGTAAAATAAAATAATTTTTCTAATTTGAAACATTGTTTTTTAACTTCTGAATAAACACTCTGCTACAATGAAACTGTTTTATTTAATGGTATCCTATGAGAATCTCATACTTTGTCAAAAATAGCCTTCAGAAAATCTCTGCTCTCTCTTTACTACCAACCTCACCAGACAACCCTCTGGAAATGGTAATCTGAATTTTAGGCTTCTTCTTCAGCAACTCAAACTGGGATGTTAAATATTTCAATCTTAATGTGTCAATTTTTCCAAAGTAGATGTCTCTAAAGGTTTCTCTTTCTTAGTTTTTGCAATATCGGTGTTAAATTAATCAGAGTGCTTGCAGAGAGGTGCGTGGTTTCACTCAGTGGGAAATAAAAATCATTGACACCTCCCTACTTCACCTACAGACATTGGAGCCTGTAGGTTCCAATGTCTGGAACCTACAGATCTTCTCCAACTGGGTAATCTTCTCCTACCCAGTTGTACAGAGGCAAATACTTTAAAAAAAAGATTAATAAATGAAGAATGTAGGGGAGAATCTATTAGTGCAAATGTGACAAAGATCTTCCATAAACATTATTTTGTAAGATATTCTTGAAAGCATTAGTATTAACTCAATCATCAGCAGAGCAGACCCTGCAAAGAAAGCACAGAGGCAGACAGTTTTAACTACAGGGACTCTGCTACTTCACTCAGTAAATCGTGCTCTCCTCCCATTTAATGTTAATCATAAAGACTGTTGCTCAGTGGATCATAAAAACAATAAAACGAGTCCTTCATAAAGCAAAACCCCCTTGTGCTAATTACTGACTGCACACATAAAGTGCATTGCTGATTTTTCTCAGTTCTGCCACTTTTTAGCGTAAGCAGCAGGAAACTATTTAAAGGCTTTAAGTAGATTAAAATATAAAAAAAGTTTTTTGTTTTTTTTATACCCAGTGAAACTCCCCAAGAGAGCTTAGAAATGAGACAAGGGAGGAGAATAAGTGAGCTGGAAAATAAAAAAAGAGAAAGAAATGGAAGCTGTGATGGGAATATCAATTTCAGTTCTGCCCATATATGAAGCTTAGGAAGACTTGAGCAAAATATCCTGCTCTGCTGATGAAGATGGAGACAGTGAAACATATGAGGATAAACAAATGTGGTGAGAAATTCATGTATTCTAATATTTTTAGACACGTATACATGAGACAGAGTTACAGTCCAGGTTGGCGCATGTTCTGTGCGCATGTGTGTCTGAAGGCAGCCGATCAATGTTTCTGTCCTGAGGAAGTGACTCTACAGATGTCACGAATTCAGCCCCACAATGCACCCTGCCTATCATTAGCACAGAAAACATTGATCTTGTGACAGTAAGCATCCGGCAGCTCCAGCAAACATGATAATGATAATGATAAAATAAGCTCATTAAATGCTGAGTGAAGCTTTTACGTTGATAATGGAGAGACTTATTTAATTAACTTAAACAGCAACAAAAATTCAGCTTGTTGCTTTTGTGCACAGTTTAGTAAAGCATCCATATCAATTTAACTATTAAAACACTAACTTGCCCTTGATTTTATTTTGATATTGCATGATAGACCATCCGAGAGTGGTGTGTCCTTTTGGAAAATAAACCAAAATGATATATGTTTTTTTTTTTTATCTAAAAAGTGTGGAAAACATTTTAATTCAGTTCCTTTACTCAGGAATACTCAGAAA